ACCTGCCGCTGATGAACCCGTGCTGGTTGCCCCTGAGCATGCCGTTCCCTGCTGGCCCCTCCTGGATGCGTGCCAGAATAATTTTCTCGAACAGCTTGCCCAGGATCGAGGTAAGGCTGACTGGCCTGTAGTTCCCCGGGTCCTCTTTCCTCCCGTTGTTTTTATACTTCTTGTTTTCTAAATAAAATTCTGCTCTGTCAGGTGAAGCCTTACCAACATTCTTCTAAGCCAGGGGTTTTTATCCTTTTTTGGTCGAGGTACCCCTGGTGGCTAGTTGAGAAGTGAGGAGTCCCTTGGTGGCCAGTCAGTGAGTGGCATGGGGGGTCTCCTGCACAGCAGCAAAACCAGGAGTGCCACTGGCTTCTCCATGCCACTGCCGTGTACCCCTTGGAGCCTTCCAAAGCATCCCCAAGGGGTATGTGTACTTCCGGTTGAAAACCCCTGTTCTAAGCTATTTAGTATCACCAGGGATAATAACAAATATAACTAACACTGTATTTACCTAAATCCAAAATGACTGATTTTAAGATGACCCCCCCAATAATTGGATTCTATACACTAAAAATTCTAATAAATGAATGCATTTTCCATGTATAGAATCTAATTTATTGCAGGGGGTTGTCCTAAACTGCCTCCCCTCCCCTCCTTCCCGCTGCTGCAGGGCAAGCAGTGGTGCAGGGACAGGCAGTGGGGAAGTCAAACAGTGTCACTCCTTGCTACTTGTCCCCCTTGCCACTTGTCCTAGCCCCTGCTGCCAGTGCCTGACCTCCCTGCCACCACTTCCATAACTTACCCTCTGTAGCTTGGGCTTTGGCCCCACTCTGGACATGGGCATGGACCATGCGGTTGCTCTGGCCCCGGCCCTGGCCTGACCATGCAGCTGTGGTCGTGGCAGCAGCAGCTGCTGCATGCCCCAGCTGGGGCTGAAGCACCCGTATGCTCCATACCCTGGCCCAGACTGGGCTGCAACCCAAGCCAGAGCTGTAGCTATGGAGGGTAAGTGGCAGTAGGAAGCAGGGTCCATTGATGGGGGTGTGGGAGGCAGCTGCCCTGACCCTGATATTGGGCTTGAGTTGGAGTTCAGCAGCTGCCCCCCCCCCCCCCCCCCCCCTTTTTCACAACAAAAACAAAAGAACACTATGGG